TTTTTTTTACCTGACACATGACTAATTACAGGCACACTAAGAGCAAATCACAACATCTTTTAATGGTTATGAAAATGCATTCAGATTTAGCATAATAATTATGCAATCACTTCATAAATTTGAAGTTAAACACTGATATCCCCTATACAAGAAAGTGAATGTAATTTATATTGTGTGCTTTAAAAAAAATATCGGTATCGGTATCGGTATCGGTGATATTGGCCCTGTATTTACTTGGTATCGGATCAATACCAAATTTTACAGTATCGCCCACCTCTACAGGAAACAGCTTCCTCGTCCTCTGCTCACTGAGCAGCGTGGACTGGAGCAACAAACGGAGCAGGAGGAAAGCTTGGAGATAGCAGAGACGTTGGAGAGGGAGAGGGAGAGAGGGAGAGAGAGGAGCACGGAGAGGAGAATGGCTCAGTCACCACCCCGCAATTTGTGGACAAACGAGGGGCGCGAAGTGCTATATGGCAGTACTTCGGCATAAAAACAAATGAGCAAGGAGAGGCAATTAACGTTGATGCGCCATTGTGTAAACGATGTTTTAAAACATGCATGGCTAAGGGCGGAAACACCTCCAACTTAGCCAAACACCTACAGGATAAGCACCCAGACCTGCACACTGAGTTCAGGGAGCGACAGGTAATTTACTCATGACATGTACCCTTTTCAAATTCAATAGTTCAGTAGTTTTAAGTGTGCAACACATGATAAAGATTTCTTATCAAACATAGAATTTTTTTTTTTAAATTTTAATAAAAAAATGTGTTTTTTCAAAATGTTAAATGTGGTTACAGCACAGTCCTTCAGTGTTTTACATACATATTTAGCCACCAACCAGAAGGTGCTGTAGCAAAAAAAAAAAAAAAAGAAGTGATCTAAGCCTGCTCTGCACCATCACCCAGGAAAAGAGGGGAGCAGACAGTTCAACAGGACACGATTCATCCACATTGACAACACCTAAAGACAAACTAAACCGTGTGATGACTATGAACAGTTAAGAGATATAAGTGCTGCACAGGACCCCCTAGCCTGGTGGGGTCATCATGAGTCTGATCTTCCCATCCTGGCTCAGTTTGCACGACAATATATGTGCATTTCAGCATCAAGCTGTGCATCAGAACGTGTCTTCAGCACATCTGGAAATATCTGTAGTCCAAGGCGTTCTAGATTGAGTGAGGAACACCTAGACATTTTGGTTTTCTTGGCCAAGAATCTCAACAAGACAAAAAGCCCGAGTCAGACTCAGTAGATAGTCTACTCCAAAAGAATCAGCCACCCAATAGTAGGCAAGAGAGGGAGTAGGGAGGAGAAGGGACATAATGTTGATAGGAAAATAAGAGATTTTGCTGCTACAGTTGCTAGCTTATTTTAATTTAAAATAATTTTATTTGTTCTAAGTTAGAACTTCTAACTTCATACTTTTTATTTACTCACACTGACTGTTCTAAAAAATTTTTTTTTGAGTGCAATAAGAAAAGCCTAGTATTTTGAATTTTATTTTGATGTTATTCTAAGATTTTCTATTAAGATAAAGTCAGTAATGACATTTTTTGCATTATCTTTTTATCTGAAAAAATATCCAAAAGTATCAAAAGTATCGAAATACATTTTGGTACCGGTACCGGTACCAAAATGTTGGTATTGTGACAACACTACTGGGACCTAAATTGTGCTCCAGAATGCGAACCAGCTGCATTTTACAGGACTGCTCTTGCTTGGATTGTGTCACAGTGACTCTAAAGATCTCATCTATAACCAACCAATGAACACAGCAGCTGTGGATGACCTCTGTATGACTCAATTTTAAAAATCACCAAGTTCTGAATCAGGCAAAGCAGATAACTTTATAAGACCAAGAAAAAGTGAAATTGGTAAAATGACTGGTGACAGTCTGCCCCAGAGCCTCTCTTTAACATTTTAACCTTCACTGCACTCAGCTGTTCCCTGAAACCCTTCAATAAGGGGCTTTAATGTAAGACTAGCATTTTTTTTTTCTAGAAGCAGTCTGACAATGTCATTTGCTTGTTTCAAATATTTTATTTACTAGCATTTCTTATATTCAGTTAAATAGTTATTTTATATTTTTGGAAAACCTCATGATCTGGATTACAACTCAAGTCCTGTCAGTTTGAACTTGGGCTGTACCCAAATAAGGAAATTCAGAGTCAACACTTTGTGTGTGTGTTTACGGTTCATGATTTATCCCATTTATTACAGATATAAATATCAACTCTGTTTTGATGATGACTCTCTCCTGCATGGCTGCTAACAGCTCTGTCAGGTGAAAAGTCAGTCACTAGAAGAGTCTGGAACAGCATCTGGTTAAAAAGTAGGAGTGCCAGATCAGTGAACTAAATGAGAAATGAGTCGAACTAGGAATTCAGAGACAAGACTGAGTATCATTAATCAATGTTTAGGATATCATGAACCATCGGTGTTTAGGGGGCAGCCTACTCTGAACAATGATCGAATGCTCACCATGTGTATGGTATAATGACCCACCAGTGAAAAAGGTGACACTGGGAAGGTTAATCAGGAGAAACTACTTTTTCAGCCTTTACCTTTTTGGACGTTTTCTTAATGGCCCTGGAGGCTTTGCTCAGGGTGCTGTCCATATCCTTAGTGCTGACCTGGAGTGAGTCTGGGTCTGTGCACTGAATCAAGTCCTCCTGGTAACAGAACAGATACAGCCTCAAAGTCAAAATAATAAATTATAACCTGAAGTGGGCAAGTCATCTAATCAATACATTATACTATTATGTCAAAATAGTACCAAGAGGGGATGTGTAGTTGCACTCACACTGACTTTACTTCTCTCCTCCCTTCACCCTGCAGAGAGCTTTTTAACAAGCAGGGCTCTATCTCATTGGTATTCACATTACAGCACTGACACAGTGAAACAACATTTGGAATGCAGCTGTGAGGTGGCAGGCAGATCAGAGGCCTAAATCGCCCTCTGCTGGATGCTCTACTAAACACAGCGTACAGCCTCCCCTCTAAATCTCTCAGTGGGCTCAGTAATCAACTTAATCAGCCCATGCCAAGCTAGTTTTCACTAATTTCCCCAAACCACTAATGGATGTACATTTTCTATAATAATGTTACTCTTCAAAAAAATCCCATAAAAATACCAAAACCAATAAGAAATTGGAACAACTAACAACTGGTGTACTAGCTGACATGTACCTTTACTTCAATGAACACACACTGGTTTAGTTAGCTAAACCCAACAACACTGTATAAATGTGTTCATTCACAGTTGAAAGTTGCAAAAACCAAAGCACCATTTCATCCTGTTTGAGTTTAATTTGCTACAAACAGGGAAACAGTGGTCCTTTTGAAAAACCTAAATCCACTTTTTATGCCTCCATGCTGGTGATAGCTGCAGCCAGAGGCATTACGTTTTCAGGTGTCCATCTATTCATACGTCTGTCGGGAATATTCTTGTGAACTTGATAAGTCAGCAACACCTTGTGAGAATTTCTTCAAATCTGGCACACAAGGGTACACTTGAACCAAAGGATGAACTGATTATATTTTGGTGGTCGAAGGTCAAGTAACCGGTGAATTTGAATGTATATTGTTTATACATTGTTTAATGTATATTGTATATTATTCTAGAATTACCGTTTTGCAGCTCTGACTCCACCAACCAGAGTTACTTTGTTATACCAACAACTGATCCCAGTGCCAGTCTCTAGTGCGCAGTGGAACAGGACTTGATGACAGTGATATGAGCAAGACTGACTTTTGAGATGACAGAGGTACCACAGCTTGCCTTGCATGCCTGACTGCCAATCTGTCGAAGCACCTACTTTCTTTACAATATGTGTAAGTGTGTGGCTTCTCACAGCATCAGCCCTGCAGATGGTGTTGGCAACATGACGGCAAAGTGTTCGCAGCCAGATGGTTTTAACGGTTTCCTCTCCAGCCAGTTGGAAGCTGAACAACAAGTTCTCATGTTCAGTCGGAGGGCGAACCACCAAGGCGAATGCATTCACGCACTCTGAAGAGACATGGCAAAGAGCAAGAGAGAAAAGATAAGTGACAAAAAGAAGGGAATGCAAGTCAACCAGTAAGGAAATTCAGTGAAGAGAATGAGACAAAAAAGCATGAGGATGATTGAGGGAGGACATTGGACAGGAAGAAGACACAGATGGAAAGCCAATCAACTTTAGTGCTTTATCCAACTTCCTTAAATATAATCATTACTGTTTGATTCAGAAGGACTCATTCATCTCTGAACAATGATCTCACACAGAACAACAGGGATGGACAAAACTGAGGAAACTGCAAACTATACAAAACACTGCTTTCATGCTTCCATGTATTCCTGGGAGCATATCATACTATATGCTGAAATGTGGGACATCAGAGCCCTCTGTGGGCACAAAAACTCTAGGACTTTGCAGTGAAAAGAAAAGAAAAAATCTACTTCACAGAAATCTAAACTAGCTGATTAGGGAGGCCATAAAAAGATGTGTAGATGTATGGTGTCATCACCTCCGCCTCACATTTATTAGCTGTCCTGCAGCCCTATTAGTAGCACTGTTTTTAGACTGTACATTTGAAGTATAGTATATCTGAAACCAACTTAAGAAAAAAAGGAATAAGAGCAACTAAAAAGAGAAACCACACACACACACACACGTTAGTGTAGATACACTTTCCATTAAAACAGTGTGTCACTGCAATGTGTTACATTTTATAGATGCAAAAATTGAGCAGCATCAGTTGAATTCTCAATTTACTGCTCACTATTCAGTTACAGTCTGTTTTATGCAGACTACTGAATGGGGGAAGTACACATTATGTCCATCATGTGGAAGAATGAACAGGAGGAATGACTACAGCATGCAATACCTGTTCATATGGGCACCTGACTGCTATTTTAAGTCAACCTTAAACTGAATGAGTTGGAAATTTCTTTTCTAAAATTTCTTGTTGGTGTATCAAAGGAAACTGAAAACCAACTTTTGCCTACTAATGAATATTCTTCATTTAAGAAAGTATTAAAGTCACATTATATTTTGATGGACATCCATGCTAGTGTGGGGTGTTCAAAAATGTCTTGGGAATGAAGCCATAATTAGCAGCTGGCTCAAATTTCAGAGCATTGCATTGCATTGAGATGGGCCGAGGGGGCAAAGTCAGAGCTACAGGCCTGCACTGACTGGAGTGTTGTTGAGGTCACAACAACAGACCTGGATGAACTTACTGACACCTAGACATCATACATCAGCATTTGAGGACGTGTGTCCCTGCCAAGACCGTCTGTGCGTTCAACAACAACAAGCACTGGTTCACACAAAATCTTAAGCAGCTTTGTCATGCCAAAGAGGAGGCCTATAGAGGTGAGGACAGGATCCTGTGCAACCAGGCCAGAAACACACTGACAAAGAGAAATCAGAGTAGCAAAGAAGAACTACTCTGAGAAGCTGATAAATCAGTTTTCAGCCATTGTGTGGAGAAGCCTACAGGGCATCACTAGCTACAGGAAACCAGGGCCCCTGCTATGGAAGACCATCAATAAAGCAGAACTCCACACCCCTCACCTACTTCACCTCAGACACAGAAATTTCTCCCCCTGTGATTCCCCCCCCGCCCCTGACAACCTGTGAAAAGGATGTGCATGGCCTTTTCAAAAAACAACAACAGAAAGGCACCAGGCCCAGACAGTGTGACTCCATCTTGCTTGAAATCTTTTGCTGATCAGCTGGCTCCCAACTTCACACAGATCTTCAATAAAACAGAAATCTACTAAACTTAAAACAGAGCCACAGCTGAATGCCTCGAGTCGTGCTCTCAGAGAACAATGTTGTCACGCTTCATGTAAATGAAAAAAAAAAAACATCTTTAAGTTTCTCATGTTACCTGAGGGACAGTCTTTAAACCTATCAGAGAGCCACTAAAACACTTAAATCAACTTATCTTTCTAGTGTGATTGTTAATCATTATAAACTGCAGGTGTTATTCAGTACAGTTAACTGATATATCGATCAATTTCATCCTATTGTGAAGTTTCTGTAGGAAGTTGAGGTCTTTAACTCTTGTTAAGATTGCCAACATTAGGCATTGTTCTGGTGTTACTGGTCTATAACTTGTGTGCTCTGCCACTTTTGGCAAGTTTGTGCTGGTCTCACTGCCTGTTCTATCAGAGGAGCTTCAACATACCGACGTTTCTCACTGCCCTCTAGATATTATAAAAGCAAAGTTATTTAAGGATGTTTTTGAGACTGTTTGGCCCAGTTTTCTTGTCCTTGTTAATCCCTTCAAACATGGATTGTTTCTGAGGTGTTTAAGCAAGCCTCCTAAAGAAACCTAACTTAGACTTCTGTCTTATCAAATTTTAAACCAGTGTCTAATTGTCTTTTATATCAAAAGTCTTAGAAAAGGTCATGCTGACTCAGCTCCAGTCTTTTCTAAAGGACAGTGGAACTGAAGAAAAAGTTCAGTTACGTTTTAAACCACAGCACAGTACCGGATCTGCACTTTAAAAAAAAATGATTTGAAATCACTAGAGCTGTGTGAAGTCCCCTCTTGCATCCAACCCTCCACCGTCTCCCCCTCCTGCCTGAAAGCTTGTGTTGATCAGTTGGCTCCCATCTTCACACAAATCCTTAACAGCTCACTGGAGCTCAACAAAGTTCCTTCCAGTTTCAAACACTCCACCGTCATCCCAGTCCCAAAAAACCCACCATCAGTAGACTGAATGATGACAGACCGGTCACCCTGACATCAATGATTATGAAGTCCTTTATGAGAATGGTGCTAGTTCACATAAAGGGCGTCACAGGCCCGCTGCTGGACCCCCTGCAGTTTGCCTACTGGACAAACAAGTCAGTGGATGATACATTCAACATGGCACTGCATTGCATGTTGAAACACCTCGTCTCGCCAGGGAATTATGCATGGGTCCTCTTTGTGAACTTCAAGAAGTTCATTGTACAGGGAAACACATTTCCTAACTGTGCATATGACAAATAAACACTTTGACCTTGACCTTCAGCTTTGAACGCCATCATCCTGACCATCCTCACCCAGCTACCTGTGCCTACCCACACCTGTCAGTGAATCACCAGCTTTCTGACAGACTGGAAGCAGCAGGCGAGGCTACGGAAAATCACAATCAGCACATGTGGCCCCAGAGATCTGCCCCCTTTAATAACAACTGCACCTCAGGGGACTACTCTGTTAAACCCCTGAAGTTTGCAGATGACACAATGGCCATTAGACTCATCTGAGACTGTGACAAGTCTGCATAAAGAGGGGAGCCTGCCTTGTGATGCAGTTGCCAACACCCTAGAGCTGAACACGTTCAAAACAATGGACTTCAGGAAGAGATCCTCCACCCTACTCAGCAGCACTGTATCATAAGTAGAGTCCTTCAAATTCCTGGGCTCCATTATCTCCCAGGACCTGAAGTGGACATCTAACATCAGCACCATCATCAAGAAGACACAGCAGAGGATGTACTTCCTGTGTCAGCTCAGGAAATTCAACCTGCCCCAGGAGCTGCTGATCCAGTTCTACAGAGGAATCATCAAGTCTGTTCTCTACACCTCCATCACCATCTGGTTTGGCTCAGCAACCAAACAGGACAGGAACAGGCACTGTACACCAAAACAACCAGACAAAGTTTTTTTCCCTTGGGCCATCGCTCTGATGAAGAGTTAATCCATGACTGTATGACTGGACGCAGCAATCACCACAGTGCAAGAAATTGTAAATATAACCATTGTACATATTAGTCTGAAAACTCTACTGTGATGTACATTTATAAATACTCTTTCTTGTATTATTTTCCTATTTTTCATTTTCCATGTTCCTATTTGAATGCATGTTTTTTTGTTTTTTTCATTATTTTCTATTCCCTGTTGCCTACAAACACACTGAGAGCCTCTGTACCGGAGTCAAATTCCTTGTATGTTCCAATGTACTCGGCTATTAAAGATGATTCTGAAAATCTATAATGGAGAACAGCCTCTGTTATTAACTGTGTTCAAATACACAGAGTGAAGATTTCAGAGTTGGTTTGTCTCTGCACCATGTTACAGGGACACTCCAAAAAGAGGGTTATACACTTTGGGGTATTACAATAGAGTGCAGATTGAGAGCAGAACATGACACCCTAAAATAATGTGCAGATATAGTATAACCAGTAAGATTGCATATTTCTAGTGTGTGCATATTGTCAGCGTTACCCTCTGTGTCCTGCAGGTCCAGCACTCTTCGAATCTGGGACAGCGGCATCAGTGCAATGTGTTTGAATGGTGGTGGTGGTCTTGTCTGTCCCACTGGACTCTTAAATGTATTCATCACCTTGTGACGCTTCCTTGCAATCTGCAGAGATGCACAGAAATAAACACATGCACAAAATGAGTCACACTTTGAAGGTTAGGAAAGGCAATTTATGAATAGCACCTTGTGCTCATAAATGTCCTTGTTATTTAGAATTGAATATGGGTGCATTTTCCAGTTTGTCAGTGAAGCTGCTGTCAGTTACTCTGCAATAAATTGATTAGAACTAGGCCAATTTGATCGGTTTATTTAAGTCAACACTAGGTAATTCGGTATCTGTGTTTGTAATGGTTGATAAATGATAAGACATCAGAGCAATGGAACACCAAAGACGGGTGGAAAAGCTATTTTATTACTAGTGTTATTTAGATTAGATTCAACTTTATTGTCATTACACAAGTACAAGGCAATGAAATACAGGTTAGCATCTAACCAGAAGTGTATAACGGCAGTGCAGAGGGCGCAGTACCTACAGTAGGTACAGACAGCACTAATTGTGTGGATGCTTCAGCAGCATCCACACTATGCTCTCCTATTCTTTCTTTGTGTGGATGCTTCAGCAGCAACACTATTATTGTCCTGTTCTTTATTGTGTGGATGCTTCAGCACCAACACACTATTGTCATCCTGTTATCTATTGTGTGGATGCGAAGCAAAAAAATTCTACTTCACCATACTTTCATCTATTTCAGGTACCAAAATGTTCAGCTCTTCAAGGACATTCATGCTTCTTTTCAAAATGTTTCTAAACTTCATACCTTCGAAATATTTAGCTTTATTTTGAAACTTTTGCACCATTAAAATGAATGGGGAAATTCTACTTCAGCATACTTTCAGCTATTTCAAGTATCAGCATGTTCAGCTCCTCAAGAACATTCATGCTTCTCTTCACAATTTTTCTAAATCTCATACCTTTGAAATATTTAGCTTTGTTTTGAGAATCATGCCCCATTGAAATGAATGGGGGAAATTCTTCTTCAGCATAATGTCAAGTATCAAAATGTTCAGCTCTTCAAGGACATTCATGTTTCTCTTCAGAATTTTTCTAAACTTCATACCTTTGAAATATTTAGCTTTATTTTGAAAGTCTTGCTCCATTCAAATTAATGGGAAAATTCTACTTCAGCAAACTTTCAGCTCTTTCAGGTATCAAAATGTTCAGCTCTTCAAGGACATTCATGCTCCTATTCAGAATTTTCCTAAACTTGATACTTTTGAAATATTTAGGTTTATTTTGAAAGTCTTGCTCCATTCAAATTAATGGGAAAATTCTACTTCAGCAAACTTTCAGCTAGCAAAACCATTCAGGCATCAAAATGTTCAGCATTTTCAGACTGATCTTTCAGCACTCAGCATACATACGCATTTTCTTCAGAAAATGCATTTCTCTAGTTTATTATTATTATTCTGATTTCTTCCGTACATTTTTTGGCACTTAATTCCTTCAGCATGCTTTCAGCTACAAAAGCCATTGAGGAATCAACATGTTCAGCTTTTTAAGGACGTGTGCTTGTATTTTTCTTGTTTGTAAGATTTATACTTTTTCAGCTATTTAGCATTTTTCAACAAATTTTGCCCCATTCAAATGAATGGCAAAAATTTTCACATCTTAACTTCAGCATACCTTCACCTATTTCAGTTATCAAAATGTTCAGCTCTCCAAGGACATTCATGCTTCTATTCACAATTTTTCAAAACATCACACTTTTAAAATATTTTGCTTTATTCTGAAAATTTTGCCCCTTTCAAATGAATGGGGAAATTCTACTTCAGCATACTTTCAGGTATTTCAGGTATCAAAATGTTCAGCTCTCCAAGGACATTCATGCTTTGACTCAAAATTTTTCTACACTTCACACATTTTGATTACATATGTCCTTGTTTGTCTGTTTATAATACACTGAGCACTGATTTCCTGTATGCTCAAACATACTTGGCCACTAAAGATTCCAACTTCTGACACAACCTGCTAGAGGGCAGAAGGAAATCTGTTGTTTGTAAAGATGGGTTTTAAGAAATCTAAAGACTTTGGGTGAATAAAATGTCACAGATGTTTAAAACAATATATATATATATATAAATATATATATATATATATAGTACACAATCTGCTGCTAAGACATTGAGAGACTTTATAATGTAAAAGAGGATCAACATATGAGTACGAGTCTATGCATTTCAGATGATCTTTACAATGTTTGGAAACTGACAAGCTCTGAACATAAACTAGCATAGTGGTGCATCCCAAAATGCTGGAGCAGAGAACAAAGAGGAAGGAATAACACTGGGTCCAACTCATACATGGTAACTCCCAAAATGCTATCCAACCAAAAACATACTAGCTCTAATCAGTCACAATCACCCCCTCAGCTTCCTTCCTATTTGTTTTAACATGGCGTTTACTCAGGCTCAGATTCACGTCGTCATTTCTGTGTATTTCCATACACAAAAGAAACATTGCATTTTTTAAGGCATTGCAGTGGGCTGGTTATCCCAGCCAACTGCAATGCCTTAATAAAAATGCAATCGAATAAAAACAAAAAAAAGACTCATTTATAAACAGAATAGATTAAAAGAAAACCTAATCCATGCATTTCAGCAGACAGACTAACAATATTTACATACACTCAATATAATACAGCAGTGTCAATGTGTGTGTCAAGTTAGCGTGTGTGTGTGTGTGTGTGTGCACATCACAGGGGGTGGGGTGGGAACAAACAGTGTTTAGCATCCTGGCAGTTTGTGGGAAGAAACCGTTCAATATCCTGCTGGATCTGCAGCCAATAGTCCTATACCGTTTTCCCCCAGACAGCAGGAGGGAAAATATGCGAGAAGGGTGAGAAGGGTGGAGAGGGTCCTTTATGATGAAGGTGGCTCGATGAATGCAGCTCCACTGGTAAATCTCCATTAGGAAGGGGAGCGGGCCACCAATGATTTTTTTTGGCCATCTTCACCATCTTGCTGAGCTACTGTTGTTTGAGGGCCTTGCAGCTCATAAACCAAGAAGTTAGGTTGTATGCTAGGATACTTTGATGGTTCCACCACAGAAGGTGGTGAGGTGATCAGGCCTGCCCTTCTTAAAGGGCTTTTAGATAGGATGTGGTGGGCACTGTGCTCAGCTATCGAACCGATTAATTTCTATATGTTGTGTGGCGCAAGAACATATCAGCGCTGCGCCAGGCGGATCGCAGCACAGGTTTGTGCGTGCCCTCCCTGCGCTGAAGTTAAAGTTTAACTTGGGCGCAGGCACAGCACTCTGAGACAACACCTCGATGCGTCCAATTGCAGAGAACCTGACAAACCATAAAGAAAATTGAGAAGGTGAAGGCCTCGTTTCATTTTATGAAAACAGTGGAACGATGTGCTCTACCAAAAATCTCTATTTTGGTCTCATGTGTCCACAGGACATTCTCCCAGAAAGACTGTGGCTTCATCAGGTCAGTTTTGACAAACTCCAGTCTGGCTTTTTATGTTTGTGTCAGCAGTGGGTCCCTGGGTCTCCTATCATTCTTGTCATTCAGATGGCGACAGTGTGAGCTGATACTGTTGCACCCTGTGCCTGCAGGTCAGCTTGAATTTGTTTGGAAGCTGGAGGAGGTTCTTTATCCACCATTCAAACAATCCTTTGTTACAATCTGTCATTTATTTTTCTCTTTTGTCCACATCCAGGGAGATTAGCTACAGTGCCATGGGCTCACATGACCAGGGATGGTGTCCGGCCCTGCAGTTTTGCATGGGTTGATGTTAGCGAAGGGCTTTTTTTTTTTTTTTTTTTTACTGAATT